ACAGTAAGCACTCTTCTGAACTAGCTCTCACTGTACAGCCTTGACTGGCCTCTGTTGGGATGAAAGGCCTGTGCCACACTAGCACCTGCACACTGTCCTGACTACCACACCCACAGAATACCTCTCCTTTCTAAAGAGGAATGATGCTGTGTTGTGTGTATGCACCGACTTTTGCTCTTCCACTCTCCTGCTGCTGCAACCTGCATGACTTTGGGATTGACCCAGATAGAGTGACATGGGATGAAGAAACAACAGACACACATAGTAAAGAGCTGGCATTGGGTGGGATGTTTCACATTTTAGATCTCATTGTGTGTGTGCTTGTGCTCCTGTGCCATACATCACAGTGCACACATGGAGACTGAAGACAACTTGTAATGGGTTCTCGCCTTCCATCAAGTGGTTGAGCCTATCTGCCACTGCCCATGACTGGCCTTCATAAGGACCAGAGCATAGCACAAAGGCCACCTCTCAGGTTGCCCGGGGTCCCATTCACTTCAGAAAATGTGCTATGGAATACTAAGTTCAGGGTTCACAAAGGAGCACCTCTGTGGTGTTTACAAAAAGATAAAGAGAGAGGGGATATGTTTTGGTGGATGTGTAGTCAGGTATGGGGGAATGGTATATCTCAGGCCTATGTTGAGGGATCCCTTCCCCCTGAGGGACCAGCCACATGATGGTATAAGTATGGAATAGAGTTTATTCAGGGTGTGGTAGTAGAGGCAGAGAGAGTAGAGAAGTAGAGGAGTAGAGGCTGGCCATGAGCATGTGGAGATGGGGGGGTGGTTGGGGAGAGAGGGGGAAGGGTGAGAGGACCGAGAGGGAGCAAGAAGGCAAGAGCAAGAGAGAGCGGAGGGGGCAAGCAACCCTTTTATAGTGAGTTAGGCCTACCTGGCTGTTGCCAGGTAACTGTGGGGCAGGGCTTAGACTAAATGCTAACAGTGACAGTGTCCTCTCCCTAGCTGTGTAGCTTGGGCCGGGTACAGTGCTAATATGAGTGCAGTCAGCACTGTTAAGTCATGTTGAGCTTGCCTTAGACCTTAAACACAGAGTCCTGTACATGTCTTGATGACCACAGCTGGCAGAGGGACTCTGAAAAGTACAAGGGACTATGCTCAAACCTCTAGCACCCTAATAAAGAGCCAAATGTAGGCTGGGACCTATGTAAGACAGACTCTAGGCTGCCCTGCCAGGGGCAGTCCAGTTTCTGTCCAGTTCTGGACAAGGATGACATCAAAAGGTGATTGATGGTGGCACTGGAGTGTTAATGTAACTTTTATTCACCTGATGGAATTGTCTCTGAGGCATACTGCCTCTGTCTGCTACCCTAGGCCTAGCCCTGCAAGCTTCTAGCCTCTGTACAATCTAATCTAGGCCTAGAATGGTTTCAACTTCTGAGGCTTACTGCTGAATAAGCTCACCCTTTCTAGTTCTTTCTGAGCTCTAGCTGTCTGACTCAACTCAGCTGTTCTGGCTCCAACTCCTAATTCAAACTGGCCTCTGTTTTAGCTTCTTCCTCTCCTGAATTGCTCTGCTTGGCTGCAAACTAACTCTAGCAATCTGTTCTAACTTTCTGGCTCCTTCTCACTCTCTGGTTTGTTCTGTCTTCACCTGTGTCTAGCTTGTCTTCTCTTCAGCCTGTCCCAGTAAAGCTGCCTTCTTTCTATACTGCCCAAATAGCTTCCCTTTCCTCCTGTCTCATGAGGCATGTCCAATTCTGTCAAATCTTTCTCTGAATCATCACTTTGTCTGTCACTCAATTAAACATCACTTTCAAACACAGGTACTTCTTTCTACAAACTAACTTTACCTTAATTGTTTGGGATTAAAGGCTTGTACTAAGGGGATGTCTGTATTTGAGCCAGCGGGATTAAAGTGTGTAGTAAGGTACTACAACTAGAAACAGGTTTTTCCAGAAAACAACACAATCTCGGGGAAATGACTCAAAAGTTCAGAGCACTCACTGCTCCCTCGAGGGCCTAGGTTCAATTTTCAGCACCACATACCAGTTTACAACCACCCATAATCATAGTTCTGGGGGCCAAAGCCCTTTTTTTCTGGCCTTGACAGTCACCAGGCACATACATGGTGCACAGACATTCAGTTAAAACACCCATTAACATGAAATGAAAATAAATCTCAAAAAACAAATTTAAAAAGGCAACAACCTTCAGGAGGTCTGTAGAGGGGAGATCTCTATGTGACACTTCCCTAGGAGTTTTCCTGTGGGTGGACCCCTAGAAGGAGGTGAGCTCCAAGAGGGGTTCTGTGGCTGATGAGGCCAGGAGAGGCATAGGTCCTATAGGGGCATGCTGCTGACCCTTCACCCCAGTTAGATTTCAGCGAGACTGATGAACAGAACAGACAAACTCCACTCACAGGGTTACCTGCAAAAGGGTGCTAAGGAAATCACAGACTAGCTACCCAGTGGTACAAGCAGGACCCCATGTTGGGATAGCAGACAAAGTTCAACCCAAGACCTTGGGGGCACACCCTAGGCAGTCCTGATAACCCCCAAAAGCTGGCCAAAAAGAATCTGCTCCAGAATTGCTGCAGGCTGAGGCTCTGTCCCAGAAGCTAGCTAGGGTGACCCAGGACTTCCAGAGCCTCCTTGACAAGTGCTTAAATGCATCTGTCTGCAGAAGCCTCCTGTATGGTCGCCTCAGAAGGCCCCCTTGGCTTTTTAGTGGGGGGCCGTGGGGAAGAAGGACAAGATTTTGCTGTGTGGCCTTGGCTGGCTTGGAACTCATTATGTAGACCAGGTTGGCCTCAAACTCATAGAGATCCATCTGTCTTTACCCTTGAGTGCTGGGATTACAAGTGTGCACCATGTGCAGCCCTTTGGTTTTTAATAATAATAATAAAAAAGACTATTTTGGGGGGGAAAAAAAGAAAAAAAGTCCAGATGTAGTGAGTGGTCTGGTCCTACAATCTCAACACAGAATGGAGCCAGCCAGTCCAGTCAATCAGGTTCAGAGCTGTCTCAAAAGATGAGGTGAAGATCCACAGGGGTGGGGACAAGGGCATCGTTAACATCAACCTCTGGCTTCTACAAGTGCACACAGAGATAAACTTAAAAACTTTTTTTTTTAAAATATCAAGTGCAGGCTAATATTACCCCATCCAACACAAAACCAGAAGCCAAGCAGCTTTTGTGAGCTGCTGCACCCCCAGGGCAGGCACTCCAATTCCCCACTCACAAATCAGGCAGGCCCCAGAATCCAAACAACTCCAGCAGCCAACACCTCACCCCACCCCCCTACCCCCTCTGCTAAAGAGGGCACTGCTGGCCCTGCCACCAACCAGGGCCAACAACCCTTCATTTGCATAAAGGGCTGACTGGCATGGATATCCTGACAACACTCCCCTCTCCCAGCTATCTTAGCTACTTCCTCCTCTCCCAATGATGTGGTAGCATTGGGTCCCCTAAAAAGGTGAAACAGCCAGATCTTTGTGTATGACAGTGTCACTCTGCTGCCCTGGAACTTAACTACATAGACCAGTCTGGCTTGAAACTTACTATTGAGATGGCTTGCATCTGCCTCGTTTCAGGATTAACACATTTCTTTCTTGAGACTTGAAGGGGTCCTTGCTACTTTGAGGGTTCTTCTTTTTCTCACATTATCCTCTGCACCTCCTGCACCCCTCCGCCATTTCACCGCCACCCCCACCCCATCACTAGACAGGAGAGAAACAAGGCTAAGGGGGAGAGAGGAATTAGGAAAATCCCTGACTCACTATATAAGGGACTGCTTGCCTCCTCCTTGCCCGCTTGCTCTTCCTTTCTTCCCTTCTTCCTTCTCTGTCCCTTCCCTTCTCATTACCCCCAGCGTGTTCATGGCCGGCCACTATTCCTCTCCTCTTTTCCTCTTCCTTCCCCCCACTCCCTGTCTCTCTGTCTCTCGTACCCCCTCAACTCCTCTCTGCATGCTCTCATCTGTACATACCATCCTATGGCTGGTCCCTCAGGGGGAAGGGACGCCTCAGCATGGGCCTGCAGAGGCACCCCCTTCCCCCACACCATACCACACCTCCACCAAATTATCTCTGGTCTCTTATCGTTTTATAAAACACAACAAGGAGTAATAACTCCTTGGCTGAACTGGCTCCTAGAATTTGCTGTGGAGCCTCGTTAGGTCCCTGTGGTGGTCTGAATATACTTGGCCCAGGGAGTGGTACTACTTGGAGGTGTGGCCTTGTTGGACGAGGGTGTCACTGTGGGCAAAGACCCTCATCCTAGCAGCCTTTGGATGAAGTAGAACTCTCAGCTCCCCCTCACCATGACTGCTGCACGCTGCCATGGTCCCACCATGATAATGGACTGAGCCTCGGAACCTGTAAGCCAGCCCCAATTAAATGTTGTCCTTGTAAGACTTGCCTTGGTCATGGTGTCTGTTCACAGCAGTAAAGCCCTAAGACAGGCCCCAAGGTTGTTTCCCAATGGTAAGAAATTACCTTACATATCTCTTTTAGATCTGTACTCCTGAACCCAGTGTGCCTTTGCTACATTGCATACACAACCAGGAGAGTCTAGTTCTGTTTGAGATTTAGGAAAACCACTGCCCCTAGAAATGGCTCATTCACTCACTTTTCTGGCATAAAATACTGTGTTTCTCAAGTTAACGCACTAGGCATTTTGAGACCTTCAGCGGCTTGGTCACAGTGTCTTTGCAAATGACTGTATTTCCCACAGTTGAAGTATCAGGCGTTTTGGTGTCAGAGACCTCTAGGTGTAGACTGACTTACAGCACTAGCATTGTATAAGTTAGAAGCAATATTGGTTGTGACCCTTATCCATCTGTCCATAGGTGCTACCCAGGCCCTTACTGGTCTCACTTGTTTTTACATTTTGTATCTGCATTTTTAAATGCCTAAGTTTCTATCAACACCTGTCTTGTTTCAGGTCTGATAAAGCTTTGTTCACAGCTGAGATTAATCTTTGTTAAAAATTAGTGAAAGTTTTTCCAGAGCCTTGTATAATCTTTGTAAATGAGGTGGACCTTTTCTCAGGCTCAACTCTGTTCCAAGTTCTTAAAGCCACTAAGCAGCATTGTTCTATAGTAGTGTCATCAAATTGACTCTGTTCTTGTGTATCAGAGTACCACCCTTCACCCAGCAGCTAGTCTTTTACTATATTACAGTGGGGTGGGGGGATTGCTGAATGACCCTTTCACAGGGGTCACCTAAAACCATCAGTAAGTTATTTACAGTACCCTTACAGAAAACAAGGTGACTTTTCACAACATGATGTGACATAGACCAGGCTACCTCTTAACTCCTAATCCTCCTGCCTCTGTTTTTTGAGCGCTGGCGTTAGGGGTGCTATCACGCCCAGCCTGAAAGGAAGTGTGTGGTGTGTCCATGCCTAAGCGCAAAGGCTGAAGGAAGACGTCAGGTGCCCCACTCCACCACTCTTTTGTCTCAGTCCCTTGAGACAGGGCCTCACCAGGGCTAGAGCCACACCAGCTTTTACAGGGGTGCTGGGATTTGAGTTCAGGTCCTTCTATTTGTGTGGCAAATGTTCTGAGCTGTGTCCCCAGGCTCTAGTGGGAATTTCAAACAACAACTTTTTAGTACACCTATTTTTTTTTCAAAGATTTTAAAAAATATTTATGTAGGCAGGTGCTTTGCCTGCATGCACATTTGTGTATCATCTTCGTGCCTGGTGCCTGTGGAGTTCAGAAGAGTGTTCAATCCCTTGGAACTGGAGTTACAGATGGTTGTGAGGCTCCAGTTGGTGCTGGAAACCAAACCCACATCTTCTGTAAGAGCTTTAGTCGCCAAGCCATCCCTGTATTCCCTGAGCAAGTGTTTTACCAGAGACCCATCTCTTAAGGAAAGGTTTGGGACTCCTTGCTGTTCAACAGTTGGCAGTTTCAGGATCTGGATGCCTAGCCTGGACTGCGCTCCGTATGGATGCCCAGCCTGGACTGCGCTCTGTATGGATGCCCAGCCTGGACTGTGCTCTGTATGGATGCCCAGCCTGGACTGCGCTCTGTATGGATGCCCAGCCTGGACTGCGCTTGTAGGCACACGCTGCTGACACCCAGGTGCCAGACTGAGGTCTCAATGGGCCCTTTTCTTTTTCTCTTTATGCAGAGCCCAGCCAGAAGCTTCTGCTTCAGCTCCCCGGTGTATCCTGGGCTAATGGCAGCTCTTGCTCCGTTCCTGACTCTATGGGGGACAACTCAGGCAGTGCTGGCTGAGGCCTCACGTAGGTCCTTCTTCAGACAGGACCCCACCCCAGTGCAGTCCAGGCAGCAAGACCATCCTAACACTTCTCAAGCACTTTTATTTCACACCTCCTGTGGAGCTTCCCTGTGTCCAGGACTGGGTAGAGCCTGGGAAGAGAGCCAGCCTCTAAAGAGCCCAGGCTGTCACCGCGGCTACGGAAGAAATTCAGGACATGCACTGCTTGTTCCTAAAGGTCCCAAGTTCCTGGCTCCTTGCATCCCACAGGCACAGTGGGCAGAGCTGTGGGCGACATTCGGGTTTCCCTGGATGTCAGGTTTCCCTGCAGGGACGTCCCGTTCCTGTCCTGCCTTCAGCCGTGTCCCTGTGGAAAGCTTCAACAATCTCTGGAAGGTTCTCTGGCCAGAAGGCCACTGCTGGGAGGCACTCAAGATGGTAACAGATGTCCTGTGAGTCTGCTATCCACTGCTGTGGAGTGCAGTAGCCAGGTGTGGCCCACATGTCCATTTGGCAGGCTTGCCTTGCCCATGTCCAGGTTACAGAGGTGGACAGTTAGTATAAAAGCTCAGACATACACATACAAAGTTTGGTCCTCCACTAAGGCTGTTATGAACTTAAAAGCTATGTAAACCACAAAAAGACAAAGAGTTACTCAAAGTACAAAGGGACCACTGCTGTGCAGGTTGGGGCTCTGATGGCTCCTGGCCAGCAGCCCCTACCCCCAGCCTCCACAACACACAGAGCCGGCCACTGCATCCCTCTGAGAGCTTCTCGTTTTAGATCCTTCTCAGAGAGTGAAGGCCAGCTCCACAGCTGGGATGCCAGTTCGTGGATTTCAGGGCCTGCAGACTGGCAGCCACAGTCCTCAGCCATTGGCCTGGCCGGAGCTGGGAGGCAGGCAGTAGGTAGGGGGGTCCGAGTACCTGCGTTTGGCCCCACGAAGTATGGCATCGTGGTCCAAGGGTACCAGCGTACCCTGTGATGGCAGGTCAGCCCCAGGGGCGATGTATACGGAATGTACCTGGTCCTGTCGGCGGGCGGGTGGCTCACGGCGCTTCACTGGAACAACGGCCTCCTGGAGAGCAGGCGCCCAGCTCGTCAGGTGCAAGGGCAGGCCCGGAGGGAGCTTGATGTTGGCCATGGGCATGATGGGCGTCCTCCGGGGTGTCTTCACTCTGACCGTGACGAAGGATGTCGGCCTTCCTCGTGGAGGGGCGGCGGCCGCGGGGAGGGGACTTGGGGTGGGTGAAATGGGGCAGGGGAGAACAGGTGCGGGGGGCCCTTGGAGAGACAGACTCGGGGTTACTGCAGCGGGGCACTGGGTGGACCCCCACCCTGGGCCTGCCACAGTGGGGAGGGTCGTTGGACGCTGCCTTCACACTGACCTTCCACGGTCCCCCGCACGCCCCTCTCCTCCAGCAGGCTCTCAGTGCTCGCTGATGTTTCTGAGTCAAGGTTCTCCTCGTCAGAACCCCGCGGGTCTAGCTCCGGCAGTCGATATGTGATATCCTCCCTGAGGGTGGGGACACCATGTACAAGGCTATTCCCTCTAGGAGATGACCCCCAAAGGAAGAAGTCCTGCACCTCCGGGCCCCTCCCTCATGCCAAGCACAAGCAGTCAGTGATGTCCTTGGCATCTGGGCCCCCAACCCTGCAAGCAGCTTGGTTGCAGTGCTCTTCCAAGGGCTGTTTCTGCCTGGATCGCCCGCCTGGACAGGGGAGGGAACGGGGCTCATGACACTTGCTTCTCTTCCTTGATGGACTGGATCCTTTCCATGAGAATCTCCTTTTCTCGGTCCTCGTCGGCACCTGCTGCCTCCTCAGGGAGAGCCCCCAGCTCCTCCAGGTCTTGGACCACTGGGCTCCTGGGGCTTTTGGTCTGAAACACGAAAAATGCAGGTCTGATCTAGCGCCAGAGGGCAGAAGTCATGGTGTGAGCAGAGTCTAGTGCTTGGGAGGAAGGAGGGGCCAGCAGCTCTAGGTTAGTTGTGAAGTAGACCCCCTACCCCACCCCCCAACACACACAGTGCTCTGCTGCCTGGAGCACCACAGGAATCTAGTGGGGACCAAGAACCAGCATGCACTTCCAGATGTTAGAATGTGTTCTATGCTACGGCCAAATCTACCCAGCGTGCACCTGGAAACATGCAGCTTGGCCCTCGCAATGCGTACATACCCGGACCCCCTCATAGGGAGACGAAAACCCCAGTTTGAGAGGCCACGGCTGGGGGAGAGATAACACAGGTGAGCAGGGATGCTGAGCCTGCCAAGTAGGCACGAGCAGGCTCAAACCAGCAGGCTCAGGAGCCACTGGCTTCCACGGGAGCCCAGGACCTGCCCCTCCCACAGCACAGGCATGGGCCCTTCTGCAGTGGGAACTCCCTGTGCACTATGAAGGAAACCAGGCCAGGCTCATGTCCTGAACTGACCCTCCAGGCCCTCAGAGGGGCAAACTCTGGCTGGCTGAGCAGAGATAGCCTTTTGGTGAAGGTAGGGCTCGGTCCTGCCTGTGCTACAAGGCCCCTGATCACACTGTCCACTTCCAAGTCTGTGGTGGGAGTGCCATCCCACGAGGTTACACCCCATGGCCTAACCCAGCCGCAGGAGCCCCAGCCCCAAGGCCAGCACTCACAGCATTCTGCCTCAACAGGGAGAGCCTGCGGAATGCAATGCTCTCGGCTGCCTCCAGGTGGCTGATCTCCTCCATCTTCATCTTGTACTTCCGCATCTGTTCTTTGATGAGCATCTCCACACACCTGAGCACAGATGCAGTCAGTTTACGTCCAGTGGCTGGGAAGGCAGTCTCAGAGAGCCAGTGGGCCTGGGCCAGCAACACTACCCTGGGACACCGTGTGACTCCAGGGGGCTCACTTGGCTTTTCTGAACCCAAGAATCCTGTCCCTTGTCTTTGACAGCACTGAGATAGGAGGGAAAAGGACAGTGCAGGGTGGAGAACAGAACCGCAGTCAACAGCAGTGTGGGACTACTGTAACTCCTAGAGAGGACAAGGCATAGAGGCAGTGCCCTGCCTAAGAGCTTCACGATACGAAGTGACCCCACAGAGCCGACTCAATAGTCAGAACCAGAGGGACTCCGCTCAAATCCTTCCAGTGAGGAGAAATCGAGTCTCCAGGCTGTGAGATCGCAAGTCACACTCTGTATTAAGATCAGAGGGAGTTAAGTCTGTCCTGCCCCACCTCCCAGTGGCTTTGAGCTCCTTTCTAGCCCTTCTTTGGTGGCCAGGAGTGTGGCTGAGGACCACAGAAGGTTTCTCAGCCTTAAGCTAAGAAAGCTGGTGAGAGTAACAGTCCAAAAAAAGGTACTCTCCTTGCAGTCTTATTTTTTCGTGGGTACAGGGGTGGGGTGTATGGAACCTGAGTTCTCATATATGCCAAGCAAAAGTTCTACCACAGAGCCACACCCCAGCCCTTCAGAGTTCCGAGGACCACTCATGTGGCGTGGGAAGGACAATGATGAGAGATTGCTTGTCCACTCAGAGGCAGAAACGCTTCACAGCTCCCCTCTCCATCTTGGGCCTAGGGGGTCTCTCTTCAGTGCTTCTTCTCAAGGGACTCAGAACAAGGTCTTCCCTGAACAGGGAGACATGAGGCTGTGCTCTCCTCATGTGCAATCCTGCCTGCATGCTGCCTGCATTGTGGTGGCTTCTGGAACCCCAATTCCACTCACCTCAGAGCCACCTTTTGTTAAATACTAGGTTTTAGTTAAAATGGTGTTTACTACAGCACCTGCTGAGTAGGCCCCAGCAGCCATGAGCACGCCTGCTGGGGAACCCTGTTTCCAACCCTAGCATCACAGAAAAGGTGTGTGTGTGTGTGTGTGTGTGTGTGTGTGTGTGTGTGTGTATGCATGCTGGGGGAGGTGAGGGAAGGCTGCTGAAGAAACCTAAGACGGGTGGCTTAGAGGGTAAAGGTGCCACGCCTGATGACCTGAGTTTAATCCCTCAGACCTACATGGAATGAAAATTGTCCTCTGACCCCCACATATGGTATATGTGCCCTCCCCCATAAAATAATAATCAAAAAAGAAACTTAATGATGCTGAATCCCTACGGGTCTGACAGAATTTCCAAGCCAGCCATGGTCACCAGGAATCTCATCTGGGTTTCTAACAGCCAGGGAGGCCATGTGGGTTTCTGAGTGAGCTCTCTTGTTGACTCTGTAGACAGAGTCTTACTCTGTAGCTGGCCTGGAACTTCAGATTCTCCTGCCTCAGCCTCCCCACTGTGAGGATGATGGACATTCCAGGCAGCTGGGTGGTTATCGGTCTGGGGCTTGGTGACTCACGTGGTAATCTTCAGTACATCTTTCATGCTGGTCAGGGGGTCAGAGTTGTCAGGGCAGCGAAGCAGGCAGGGCGCGAAGATGATAGCTAGAGCTCCCGGAGACATGCGGTTCACATCTTCAAGCAAGGCCACTCTGCAGAGTCAACAGTTAGGTGGCACCCCTCTCTGACCCCAATTCATGTCTTGGTACTAGTATCCAGGACATGCAGCCAGGTCATGGGGCACAGGCCTCTCCGCTCCTGGGGGGAGGGGTACTTGCTTGACAAGGTGGAAGATGAGTCGTTCCAGGGAGGTGTGGTTGGCTTCAGGCAGGTGGTCCAGGACTGCGTAGATGGCAGCCAGCTGCTCCTGCTTCTCTGGAAGCTCTGGGGAAGCCAGGGTATCAGTCCTGGGTGGCACTAGCCATGCCCAGTCCTTCTTCCCTAGGCATTTGGGGTGCATAGAAGCCCTCCATGTGGGGTCTAGTACAGATGGGAAACAAACTCAACCCAAACTGCAGGCCCCAGCTGGAGCAGGATATGCTCCAGCCCCATCCCTTCCTCCATGGCTCACCAACAGCCCTGAGGAAGTCTCCATACTGGGCGAAAGTCATGAGTGGCTCAGGCAGCTCCCGCAGCCATTGCTTCAGGACCCCAGTGATGGCATGGATAGGGAAGTCTTCCAGCTTAACTGCGGCAGGGTCTGTAGGGCAGGGACATGTGAGGAGTGTGTGCACACTGACCAGTGGGGCTGCACTAGGCACCTGCTCCCAAGTGCCCACCTGTCTGCAGTGCCTGGCGTAATTCCCGTGTCCGATTGGCAGCGCCTGACTTGCGGTAAAGGCCCTCGGTATACAGGCCATGCATCTCTACGTGTTCCAGAAGCTTCTCCAGCACAATGGGCACAGAGGCCTTGTCACTGGTCAGGCTGTTTACACACACTCCGAAGTGGCCTGGTTCGGCACCCAGTTCACTCTACAATGTGGGATGGGTGGAGAGTCAGGCCTGGGTGCCACTTCCTGAGTGTCCTCCATTTGTCCCTGCCTACTCTGCCCTTGAAGGGATGCTTGGGAGGGGGCAACTTGCTCCATGAAGCACCCATAGGCTGGATGTCCCTTCCTGGGGAGAAGGCCCCATGGCCCCTGTATTCTAATTCTTGTTGTGCCACAAACATGGGACCCTCATGGACAGTTGAGGGCCTCTCTCTGCCAGGCCCAGGACTCTTCAGCAGGGGTTAGGAGCCTGGCTGGGCGCCTCAATACCAGGAATGGACATGTGTCCCGCAGCACCCTGCCACTTCTCAGGGAGCCCAGGCTATAATGTTCCAGAAAGTTCTAGGTTTAGGTGCTCACCTTCCTCCTTCCAGTGTAGGAGCAATAGCTCTGAATCTTGTGCACGCACTTCTTGTGGCAGGTCATCTTGCACACTAAGGGGTCAGAGTGGAGGTCACAGAGGGTGCATGCAGAGGACCCCAGGTTCCTGGGAACACTGTTTGGAGACCCTGACTGCATTTTAAACTGCATGGGCTACACCTCTGCCCTGATTCCTGTGAGAAGATGGGTGGGTGGTGACTGGTGGTCAAAAGGAGAAACCTAGGCCTTGGTTACACAGGAGGTCTCCTTGGGAATCCAAGCCTGGTGCTTGAAGCTGTATGAGTGTGTGAGCAGCATGCATGGTACAGAGGTGGGCCCACGACTGTCACATCATCTGCCTTTGTTACTCTGTGTGTGTGTGTGTGTGTGTGTGTGTTGAGAGAAGCCTTCTGAAGGGTAAGCAGAAGACACAGGCAGTGGCGAGGGTAGGGCAGCCATGTGGCCCAGACAAGGGAAGGCTCACCACTGCACAGCAGGGCCTTGTCCATGAGCCAGATGTAGGACAGACACTGCTCACAGGACTGCGGGATGTTCACCTGGTAGCTGGCGAACACATGTCCATTGTGTTCCTGGACCTGCGGTGGGAGAAGGGGTGGAGGGCTGGACTGAGGGACTACCCATTTCCTCACCCTGCGGTCTCAACAGCAGCTCTTTCCCATGGCTCCAAGACGCTGCTGGATTAGGGCTGCACACAATGTATGGATGCGTGCATTTACACACACACACACACACACACACACACACACACACACACACACACA